TACAGTTATTTTTAGCCTGAGAACAATACTGAACCTATGGTATTAGTTGAAAATTAAAATTACTGCTTTTATTGTGCATTTAAGAAATCAAATTTTATATCTTTTCGGAAACAAACCTTATTATCTACGCAATTTAGATAAACCTTGACGCCTTTAAAACTAAAAGGAGGCAAAAATTATGTATAGCATAAATTAAACCTACCAAAATCTGCCGTACGAAACAGACACATGCGAATTTTTCATTATCAACTTGACAAACGAGGAAAATGAGAGTTAGGTAATTATGTGGGATTGCCAACTTTGTTTCGGGACTTATTGTAATACAAACGTTATTTAACTCCCGGTTTTGGTGAAGAGCCACTTTTAACTTGGCCGTTGTACCACCCCGAATAGAATGGCCTTCGGGCCATACCAAATGCCTTCTCTATGTTGAATATAGATATTTCGCCTGAGTATCATGTCTTCCTTCGTCTTCAGGGAGGTCTTGGAGCGCTACACTGGTGGCAGAGGAAAGCGAATCCTATCCCAAAGGACATCTATCCTGATTTCTACTCCCGAATGGCAGACCTTAGTGGGGTGGAAGAAGTACCTATGCTATGGATGTGCGAATCGGTAATGACTCCAAACAAAAGACCTAAAATCGACATTTACCCTCAACAACTATCCCAGTTTCGTGTTCTGCAGGAAAGCTCTTAACAACGAAAATAACGCTAGTCGTGAACCAACAGGAATGGCTTCGTTGCAAAGTTTCCCCGCCGCACCTGCATAAATTAAACTTGCGATACCTCTTCCACTTCTCTGGATATGACTGGGCAGCTCCTAAGTGAGAACAATGTGGCAAGGAGGAACAGACGCGAAACCTTTCACTTACAAATTTGTGTTAAATCCCGTCCTTCCATGCATAAGTCTGCTTTTAGGCCAGTATTCCTACATCTATCCATGGATACGTATGTTGGTCAATAAAACCATCTGACCGTGAATTCAGTTGTCAAGCTAGATGAAAATCTAGATGCAGTTGAAACTGCTAAGAGGGATTAGTGAAGTTGCGATGAAGTAGCTCCTCAGTTAAGTAGAAATTTGATGACTGGCATGGCCACTTTGTGGACGTTTCTTTACAGTAACGACTACGTTGTGATGACTGACGTGGGAGGTGCGCTGGAGGAGTGCAGGGGGCGACGCTCAAAAGTGGAGAGGAGCAATGTAATAGGCTGGTTGCATAGCTTCCGTTTTGGTAAAGAGAAGCTTTTGATATGGTCATTGTACCATGCCGGGTGGGCTGGTCTTCGATCCATGGCAGTAGCCCAAATATGTTCTGTACGGTAAATATTTGTATTCTGTCCGATTATTATGCCTTCTTTCGTAATTAAGAAGATCATGGGCCGTAATACTTACAGCCTTAAAACATTGTTTACAGGATTTTCAGTACTGTGGAATAGTGATTTTTGGATTAATTACGTGCAATTTGATTTATTGAATAAGTCCACAAATATTAGCGGTTCCAAAATATTAGGTTGGTTACAACCAGGACTTATTAAACGAACATCTAGTGAGTTGTTGCCAAAATTTAATGCAAATGACGGAACAAATTCTAAGGTCATCATTGTACGCGCGGTAATTGGTGCTGCGTGCTTTTTTCGTAACAAATATGAAAAAGCTACTTAAACGATTAAGCAGTTCATCCAGAGAGAATTTACACAAAGACGCAGAATTCAAATGCTCCGAAGGTTTTGAATCTTATGGAGACATAGGTTATGAGGTCAAAGAGAAGGAGCTTTCAAAATTATGCAAGGCAATTTGGAACGGTGACCTACTAGCAGTAGAGCGATATGTGATGAAAGACCAAATGTTACCTGATAAAGAATCAAGGTATAATTTTGGAAAATCATTTATGTTTTAGAACTCCCCTTCATTTGGCTTGTGTCAAAGGTGACGATAAAATAGTTCAATGTTTGCTTGAATATAACGCGAAAGTCAATATTGTTGATCAAAATAATCAGACTCCCTTGATGAAAGCAATTGAGGGCGGTCATTTGGAGTGCGTTAAATTATTGCTGAATTACCGAGCTGATCTTACCGTTCGTGACAAATATGGAAATGCGCCCATTCATCAAGCAGTTAAATTTGGCCGTAAGGATATTATCGAGTTATTTCTTCGCAACGGTGTCAGCATCAACACCCACAACCAGGTTATATTAAGTTTGCTAAAACAAACTTTTAATGCACTGTAATTTTTGCTCAAAACTGTTCCAATTGTATATTTTTGTAAGTTCAATATTGATATTTGGTGATTTAGTGATCCTTTTATTTCAAATGTCGAATACTGGTATCACAGATAATCATAGAAGTCGTGTAAAATACGAGAAGTCAAACTTTTGGCAAACTTTTTTATTGCCTGCAAGATCTTTTAGTCAGTGATTATTTTTTTGCTTTAGAACGGTCTAACACCCTTGCATTTGGCCGTTGAAAAACACAATTTGCCTCTCTTACAATTTCTCGTTCAGGAGGGGGCTGAGGTTGATTGTACGGACATAAACGGAAGGTCTGTGCAATTCTAAGAAACTGGCAATTTTTCGCCTTGGTCTTTTACTTTATTGTCCTCTTTTTCTTTCCTCTTTTCGCTTTTTAAAAACTTTTTTAATTGTTAATGCGAATGCTACGTTTTATAGCTTCCATATTTAGGCAATAGAAAGTAACAAACTAGTGTCACCTTCTACCTTTATTGAATGGAAGTGTTTTACTGCCTTTCACCGAAGTCCTATGCAAAAGAAAAACCTGCATTGAGTGTGTCTGATTTCTTTCAAGAACGGCGCTTATGATGGCTTGCGAATCAGGAGATGCTCCAATGACGGAGATGTTGATTAATTTCGGCGCAAATCTCGACATTTGCAACAATGATGGTATGCAATTTCTTAACTCCTCTTACAAATTTTGCCACCTTGTAGTAAATATTCTTTGATTGAAAAAAATGCTAATTATCATGCAGTACTTCCATAAAACACTTTGAAGTTTTGTTGATAGGACAATGCTATAACTAAGTCATTCTTTAGATGGCACAATAGTATAGTAAGATTTTTTACAGGTCCCGCACAGGCGTCATAAAGAGAATTGATGATAAGTAATAAAAAATGTAGTTCAATGGGAATCTCTGCGGAATATTTTACTAAAATGTTTTGACAAATAATTTTAATGAGGGCACACATTGTCGACAGCTTGGGTTGTTGTAAAAACCTAGCACGATGATATGACTCCAATCTATTTACTCAAATAAAGACTTTGAATTCAAAAACGAATTTCCTTGGGTCGCTTATTTCGTATTAATTAGTAATATCTCTGCTTTTCTAAAAAAGAATATTTTTTATATGGATCCAGAATACCGAAAAGTTCTCTTTTCGCTGTTCACTCAAGGCGGGACTAGCCTTTGGCACTCAGTGTCACGCCAAATTTCATTACAGCTGGGTCAAAACGATGTTAGAACATGCAAACAACTAGAGTAACACCGTCCATGTAAGGCATATTTGTGCTGCCCTGGTAACGTGATCGCTTTTGTGCGCATGGGTGGTGTGTGTGTGTGTGTGTGTGTGTGTGTGTGTGTGCGTGTGTGTGTGTGTGTGTGTGTGTGTGTGTGTGTGTGTGTGTGTGTGTGTGGCATGACCACTTCGAATGAGCATCCACTCTGACGTTAGTTCCTCTTTCAGATACACCATGTTGTCATTTTCTAAAATGTACGTAGGATCAAAACACTGCGTTTTACAATTAGTTTGAGTATGTGTTTTGCTTAGCTATCGAAAATCACCTACAATGTCTAGTCAATTTTATAAGGCAAATTTGATAAGTTAACTTTCTGGTGTTTATGAAATACAAACCAACAGACACGTCGCAAATTTAGTTTTTTAAGGAAATCAATGGCATTAATGGAAAAAATGATTGGCTGAATTGTTGCTGTTTGAAAAAATACTCCCATCGAAGCCTCTTCCATGACATTTAAGTTTTGATTATCTTGGAAACAATAGATAGTTTGGATGCTATCTCCACACCTCAGTGCACATTAGTATGTGTACTACTTCTCTTTGGTCGACAAGACATTGACATAAAATTTTCTCTTATATATCAAAAAAAGATGGGATTCCACATTTTTTCCCGATTGAAAACTAATATAGGAAGTTGCCTCCTGTAAATGATTGACCTGTTAGATAATATATTGGTGTGGTACTGTTAAAAAATACTTCTCCACTTTGGTGATATACTTTTCATGAAATTTAATTCAGGCCATCACTGAAGTATATCTTGTTTGAAATCCACAATATTATTGTAGTACTTTTACTGATGACATAACAGTAGCATGTATTGTTATAATTTATGTAAATCTAACTTCCCGAAAAAGGCCTCACAGCAGAGAAGATAGCAAAGTCAAACAATCATTCGCGGTGTTTCAAGCTCCTCCACAGTCTTCGTGACTCCGTAGGTCGCGTTCCAAGCACCAAAGATTCCAGGCTGGAAGCAAGGCCAGACTTCAAACGACCCTCCAATCGCAAAAGACTCTTTGGAAATGAAAATACAGTTAGTGACAGCGGAAGTGGTGATGAAGACACCGGTGATGATATTTTAGAAGGCTTTTTCGAAAGTAGTGACGAAGAGTCCAAGGATCGCGGAGGAACTCTTTCATCTGTTGCGAGAGGGACGCATTCCAGTGATGAGGCGGTGCTGAAGCGAGCAAATTGTCGTAGGTCTAATCCTATTTGCTTTTTAAACTTTTCCAAAAGTAATTTAACAACCTACTATCAATCTACTGGCACTCAAACTCGCTAATTTGATTACACTTTAGTAGTAACCCAGAGTTCATAAAAATAACTTGCTTATTCAATAATTGCAGTTGAGGGTCTCGGTTAAAGTAAATTCGCCTTCATCAAACAGTTTCAATCAGATTTTGGGTATTCTTCCCCCATAATTACCATTTTTGACCTTATTCATGCACAACTCAAACTCACCATCACCAAATCCTAGTACTTTTGTGGTCACTAAGTCCTCCCATTAAAACTCAATGACATACGTGATTTGGTATTTTACGCTATCTTTTAAGCTTATGATACTACACTACCGGCGAGATCTCCGACATGTTTGACAAATCTCAATAAAACAATTCAATCATCTGTTGATACGTTGGGCAGAGAGAAGGGTAAACTTCCGATTACACTCATGACGGAGGTTAGTTGATTTCACATTGCAACGGCAGTTACCTTGGTTACTATTTCAATCTGCGCTCTTTCCGTTTTTGTCATAGTTTTTCTGTTTTTTACTTCATATAATGGAAAGGATTTCCTGAACAATACCTCTTACCTCATAATATTCCCTTTACCAGTTATCCTTTATCCCTTAACAACAACTATTAAAACTACGAAGTGTTGTGACACAAGTGCAGTTTCTTTGGTGCTGCTTCAGACGGCATCACTGCAAGACGGCAGCTGGAACAGCAATTCATCAGAAGCGAAGAGTGAAGGGGGCAGAAAGAAGGTGAACCTAGCTGCAGCACTCTCTGCCAAACTTGCAAAACAGGCTGTAAGTTAGATCTCTCCCGTAGTACTTAATTTTTGCTCATTTTAATTTAAGGTATGAAAACTATGCAAGTCTAGTGCTTGTTTCCATTTACGTTCAACTTGAATGGAGGTGAACATTTTAGCAGCATTTGCACCTAAAATTTTATTTTTATCAACAATTTACTTAAACTCATCAGCAAACAGTGTAACCTTCCAAAAACTGCAAAATTGTGCTCAAAATGTGCTAACTTACATCAGAATCTCTTTTATTAGATTAGATGTTAGATGTTAATTATAGCATTGCTAAAACACAGGACATTTTTAGTAATAGATTCTAAGTAAAGCCACCTTATTTTTATAAACAATAATATTTTCATAGAGAGATTGTTTGATTTCAAATACTGAAACCCTCCTTCAGCAGAAAACAGAGACTGAGGTGGTTGTTTCACCCTCACCGAATCGACCCGTCGAAGATACGGAGAGTTGGGTTGATGACGTTTCAACGCATCGGAAAGTTGGGTCACCAACAGATAAGCCTAGAGTAAGCAGTGAACAGGTTAATCCTATTTTCAAGGCATCTTCCATGTTTGCAGTTTTTAAGTAGACTTTTGTTTTTGACTTATAAGTTTGTTGCCGAATAAGATTAATGGCTTTAAGATGATGTTCCATTAGGCGTAAAAGTCATCGTTAGTGTCTGACTAAATCATGCGGCTAAAAACTAAAGAGGCATGAGTTTTTGTTTGTAGGTAATTGGAATATGAAATATTTTACGTCAGTGTGTGTAGACTTGTGCACCACTTGTCAAATTGTTTACAGACCCCATAAAAAGGAGATTTAGATGGACTCTTTTCAAATGATGATACCATTTTGGCCCCCAAGAATAGCTTAACTTTCCATGTATCCGAATGTGTAATTAGGAATAAAAACAATAGTCGCCCTCTGGTAAGGTTTCAGTGCCTTAAAACTCCGGAAAAATCAACTGAAAACTCAGTGCTCTTTTGGCAATGACATAGTAGCCTTAATTATTGCATCTTTTCGACCGCATTGCAAAATTTTAAGCAAATATTTCAAGTAATTCTATAAATTATGCAACTAACAGAGGTTAGAACTATTACAAGTAAAAGTAGCGCCTACCTTTATTTCAAAGAACTCGCGAATATTTCGTGCCATTTATAGTAAAAACTAATTTACAGGAATAAACATTGCAAGTGATATCGCTAATCCCTAATATCTTGGTCCTTTTACAAAAATAGCGATGAAAGCTGGTGCTTAAATCAGCTTTTTATCTCATTTTGCTATAAATTCAGCTTCCACATGTGAACTCCGCTTCAGAAGTAGTTAAAAAAATTGAAAACGACGAAAGGAGAGAAAGTGATAGTCCCTGGGACTCCACAGAAAATGAAGAGGATGACAAAAGTCAAGAGGCCTTTTGCATCTACCCACCAGTACCTCAAGTTGGTAATGTTAAGCCCCAAAAGGTACGCCTTTTAATCAAATGGTAGCTACCGTGGTATTGTGCCTAGGGTTCCTCGCAATTTGAGAGTAGTCCATGGGACAGTGAGGCAGAGGACAATGAGGTCAGAGAAGCGAATGAGGTCTCTGTCTCAACATTGACACAGGTCAGTGAGAGCTCAGACAAGGATCTTTCAATCATGGAGGAGTTTTCCAAAGTCCCAGTACCTTTGGGCATAGACCATCCGCTGGCTGAAGCGGTAAATCGTGCTGTCACTTCAAATACTGTAAGTTAAACTTCTTGAAAATTTTATTTAACGAAATGGAATTTATTTTTTTTTTCCAGTATTTAGTGAATCGTTTAATCGCCTGACTTCCTCCTAATTTCAAATTGTGACTGAGGAAAGGCAATAAATCCATGTTGTTAGTTTAAGGCTTTTGTTTATTTTCCATCCATAGTTTTGGTGTTTCTTGCGGCAATGCCCATGAATGCTTTTAGAAAGCTGGGTGCAACATAAAAATGCCGTGATGATGTGCCAAATTTCTCACTCCATTGATAGTTACATCTTACAATGACTATTCATTGATAGCTTTATTCAAGTTATGTATAAATTGCTTCCTAAAAGCGCAACACTTTATAATCCAAATTTTCTTATTAGCAAATGATCAAGAGCGAAGAAAATCAAGTACGTTTGACCTCAACTCGTGATCTTTCCCCAACTGATGAGCAGAGCGATGAGACATTTAGTACTGCATCCAAAAAGACTGCTATGAGTGATCAGGAGGGCAAACAAACATCAGGGGTACTAATAATATGTTTAGTTTGTGTTTAGTACCATTCAAAATTTTATCTGCAAATCAGTACTGCTCTTTTCTTCCTACAGAATCACCCAATTCAATCATTTATTAAATCGCCATCATCTGAATCGCTTCACGCTAATAGCAGTCAGTTAGAAAAGGCAGATCAGGAGAAATCTGGAAACGCTACTGAGTTAACTACCTCAGAATCGGACGAGACTGTGTCTATCCCCGTGCTTCCAGATCATAGCCCGATACCGTCTCTTAGTCAGGTGACCTTTTAAACAAATATATCTACCCATCAATTAAATGCAGGGGTGATTCCATATAAATGAATCTTACTCTCAATAAGATGCACATTTTTGAAGCATTATTGCTTATTCGGATTAGACTCTTTCAAGAAGCGTCTACATGCGACCAAAAGTGTCGCCTGCTTTTCCGCCACATAGTGAAATTGATCCTACATCACCCCAACCCAGACGATCGCGTTCCCGGAGTGGGTGCGTAAAGTGGACTTCATTTTAGTTACCCTAATGGAAATAATAATCTATGTTATTCCAAAAAAATGCTTAGAAAGGAGACGGCGCAATCGCGACACATGTTAAGCCCATCTGCCCTACCGACAAAAGTAGCTGAGTGCTCTGTGAGCCGTGGTGAGTTCACTCCTTTCAAAAAGCTTTCTAACGGTGTAATATGATTCGTCAAATAACAAATTTTGACAAAATCTTTTGTTTAAACTAGCAAACTCATATTCCTTTTCCAAACATATTAATTGGTTCTTAGTGAACCCTAAATTTTCGTTTGGTTCTAATTACTTGTTTCGCCATTCCAAATGAAGCGAGGTACTTGTATCGAATATACGCATATGCTTCAAGGTTTCTTGCTTTTAAGGGTTTTCGCAATGATTCATTTTATATCCGACCTACATTTGCAACAGAGTGAGGTAACATTATTAAGGGGTTCCTTTTATGCTGCATTCGTAAATGGCTAAAGTAATTATTTGTGGCTGTAAACCTTGTATTTTACACTCGATTGCGTTCTTCAGCAAATTGTTATTAGGTGAACAAAAAGTTTTTGATGTTTTTGATGCAGCCTCTCCACTTACCATCCAGTATTTTCGAATGCTCAGATGAAGTGTTAGCGACATCTGAGGCCGAGTCGTTGCAGTATCAGCTGATGCAGTCAATCGAGGCGTTGGATCGGGAGGAGTCGGCACAGAAGGCGCTGGAGGAGGAGCTGAACGTTGCGCGTGAAGAACTCCTCACCTCCACCATCGCCTACCGCGAAGGTAGTTGTCAGGCGGCTGCTCAGTCTTCGCAAGACTTCGCCGAATTACTCGCGAAAACGGAACATTTACAGTAGGATTCTTTTATTTCGCCTCACCTTTTGCCTAGTTTTTTTAATGACGTTCGTCTTATTCACCAGGGATTTTTTTCTCCAAATCACCGTTTTTGATAAAAGAAGCCTTATTGCGCAAAAAGTCTTTTCATATCAATGCAAAATTTGTCATTTCTCAACCACTTTATTAATTAGCTCATTATTTCAAACTGAGTATTTTTAACTGAAAGCATGAAATTGATGTTCTGGAGGGTCGCAACTTTAAGTCTCACCCCTATGCTTTGTCTCCGTTGCGTTACCGGTATTGAATCGGAGATGATTTGACAAATTTTTTAGGTTTTTTAACCTCCTTAGTGTCATAAAAGTTATGGACCAACACATTTTTTTGTTAATTTTGCTGTTATTTAAAGATTGGTAAACTTTTTTTGGTAGCAGAAGAAATTAAAGAATGGGCTATTTATATTTTTTATGATGGTCTTATTAAGTAATGATGCGCATACAATTGTACACTAACAGACTGCTACCACATCTGTAATCCATGTCATCTTAAAACACCATTTAAAACTTTATAAATAAAATTTGTTTTTAAATTTTGTTAACCAAATGTGATGTACCATTATGATTTCGCATTCGGCCCCAGATCAGTAGTTAAGTACATAAAAAGCTCTAATTTGTCGCACATCGCCTTTCAACAAAATGTTAACTTCCCTTTGTCATTATATATGGAAGTGAGTGTACTCTTTTTTGACAATTCATAATTGTAGAGCGAATTTGGCTGAAGAGTCTAATCACAGACGAAGATTGGAGTCCCTCAAACAGGCAATGATTAGTCAGCTTGCTGAGAAAGACGAAGAACTCAGCAGGTAGTGCTTTTCTCGCCACTTCCCTTCATAAATGTACCGTTAGTTCACATCACCTTATTGTTAAATGCTTTGTTAAGCTATTCTCGTTTAATTTTTTTTCCGTTATGTATAATTCTCATGTCTCTTCCAGAATCCATTCAACCTGCCAAGATCTCGTCGCGGAACTTCAGCGTGTCAAAATGGATTTAAGGGATGCGGTGCATGCCAAATTTCAGGTGGGTTTCAAATTGCATACTATTAATGCAGAGTTCCAAGTCCTCCCTGCTGGCACTGTAAGGCGCATCAGTGCAGATCAAAGAAGCATTCCTAGTGTACAGAATAGCCGAGCGGTTATGGTCATGGACCAGTAGCCATACCGTCAAGGTGACGGCAGGACCGGCAGATGCCGAAAAACCCCCGTAGTTAAGACGCATTCCTGCATCACTAATTCAATTGAATAAGTTGTTGTAAACCTATCCACGATGTGTGTAGTGAATGAGCCCATTTGTTGCCATAAAGATGATAAAATCTATTATTATAAATGACCAACTGTTATAGTTTCGGTTGTAATCTCAAAATGTTTTTTTCAAGTTGAAAATTACTGCATTAAATAAATATGCTCCAGACCGACATGACATACCTGACTGTACTAGCAGAACCATTTCCTTTGCTAATAGATGCAAACCAAATTTGAAGAGGACATGAGGATCTTAAAACAAAAAGCTGTAAAGGAACTTCAGGACCATTCAACTTTGCCCACGTTTCAATTGCAGGACGAGTTTAAGGCAAGTGGGGCGTGTCTTTGCCTTAACTTTTAATGCATTAAGACCATCATGGAAGATTTTAGCTGAATACTTAAAACGCTATTTGAATTGTTACCCAGCATAGCTTTAGTGTCTCCTGGCTCTTGGTTCGCATTATTTACATCGTTGTCATAGAAATTTTCACTAAATTGCCATCACTTTTCGTTTCCATTTACTGACCAAGCATTTTAACCAATCACTTTCAGAGTGTTTGCGTGTCTATTCCAGGCCCGTGAAAATTTATCAGCTTCCGTTTAAGTTAAACTATCTTGGTTCTACTATGCCAATGGGCTTTGATGGTGGACTCACACTTGCTAATTTTTTGATTTCTTTTTTTTCTAACAAACTGTGCAAACAGTAGGAGGATTTCTACCCTCGAACGCTTAGCGTAGGAACATTACCCTGTCATCTCATGCATTCAATCCATACGAACTTTACTTTGCCGTTACAATCTTTTTCAAGTTTTAAGTTAGTTGTTTAGCCAAAAATGATTTTATTTTGTTGCAAAGCTTAAATTTATTTAGACGATTTCTCTGATCAGTTATACTTGCCTTGACCCATAAACCTCGTCTTATAAATTTGCATTGTTCTACATATTAAATGATTGTTATGCATCTCGAGAGAGATCATTTGGCCCTAATATCTGTAATTACACCATTGATTTACACTAGAGCCGTAATAAAGCACATTTTATGTTGACATTTTCTGTTATTCAACCCTTTGGTTTCACATTAGAGGGTGCAGTCAGTGTTAATTGATCTCCTAATTTAACAGTGACACCATCTTTGCGTTGACCTTTTAGACGTCCCGTGAAAAGGCTACTCAATTTGCCACCGAAAACACCCTGACTTCACGTCTAGTCATGAAGGCACAGGTTCCATTAATCATACGTGTCGAATTTTTTCCTTAAAACTGACCTAATAGGTGGAGCTGTCACGCATTCGCAATGACTTGATCGACAGCAAGATTGAGGTCCAAAATGGCATGAGTGCAATTCGCGACGACCTCACAAGACTACAAAGTGTGTTTTTAAAAAGGATTATCATGACTTCAAAAAATCCACAACTGCGATTTCTTGAAGAAGAGGTTTGTTAGGCGATAAATTAATCTGATTTTACTTACAATAAGAATGAACGATTACGGAGTGCAAAAAGAGATCTCGAACTACTGCATGAAGAAGGCATCGCCAAATATGAGTAGGTTCTTTGCTAATAATTCTGAATGTATCTCTATCCAACCAGAGAAAAGATGGCATTAATTCAAGAGGAATCACTTTCTTTGCGAAACTTTGAAAGTGAAAACGTGGAACTTATGAGTGAAAATAAGGTATGCTTGGGTAAAATTAAAAGGAAACCTTTAGACCCTTCGTTGCGATCTCAGTGCACAATGCGAAAAGGTTGAATTGCTTGAAGAATCGGTTAGTTGACACCCTTATAGAATGCGTTTAGTCCCAAATCGTGTCTGTGCGTGCCTTTTTTGTCAATTCCTGAATCAAAAAATATGGGAAAAGAAAGATTACTTAAGCGTCGTACTGTCTAAATTTAGTCATTTTTAGTGAAATTTGAAGTTACTAGTGGTGAAGCTTTTGAGGT